AAAACAACAGCAGGAAGGAGATGATGATTCCAAGCAACAGGCTCTGCATACTGCCCACCTCTTATCTATTGGAGACTCTGGTAAAATGGAGCAGGTTTCTAATAAATTAGGAAACTCAAGATATTACTCGTGGGAAATTTATGAATAAAAATCTCGCCGTAAGCCGTAATGCCGGACTCATTTATTTTTGCGTCCAAGTCAATATAAGGCTGGTAAATCTAGTTGTCTTTTATGAAATCAAGATGTTTTTTGTGCTAGCAGTATATTTGAGGTGGCCAGGTCACTATGGTAACCGCTGCATTTTCGTTAATTGTGCATGGTTGGAATTTTAGTTTTCTTCAAATAAATCGCTACCGTGGCCATACGAGATTCACTATAATCGAGTTATTGATGGTTTTCACGGCGGCCATGTTGGAGGAACTTAAAAGAACTGTCAATGAATTCTTTTGTTATATCCTCCAACATGGCCGCCGTGTCTTTTGTTATTTAATTCTCTTGGGAATGGTTGAAAACCATCAATAGGTAAGTTTTAATCCAAAGGTTAAAAAAAAAGCATTAAGGTGGCTGACTACTCGCTGGGCTATGCATGAAAGCAGATTGTTATAATTGTTCAACTACAAAGTATTTTAAGACCTCCTAATACTTTTTGAAAATACCAAAAGGTAGCCGAAAATAGAAAAAGGTATTTAATGCGGTTCATTTTGAAATACAGCATTTACAAACTCAACTTCGCAATTTATTTGAAACTAATCAAAAAGTGGCCGGAGCTTTAAAATAATAATTTCAAAAATTTATCAAAAAGGTGTTTTGACTCTCAGTACGACTTTTTAAACGTATTAACGAACTTTGAACGCAATCAAAAATTGGTTAAGACATTTAGTTTCCTTCAACAAAGCACTTTGAGACCATTATTAAAACTTCAATATTAAATCCTCAGTTTCCACGATAATAGTTTGAATATCCAGCAGATTTCATTGGCTATTCTTTATTCAAGGATCAGTGCAGGTGATTAAAATACAGGTGTAAAATATTTACAAATTTAYGAAAGTGTCCACACATAGTCAATGRGGCATCAAGATCATACTAGAAACTTATTTTGAAGCATCCCTCTGGAAAGGTAGTGTGATGGTGAAGCGATCCCATGCATATATTTATTTCAATAAAGTTAGTCACCTGAAAAGCTATAAAGCTGAGGCCGACAAGGATTATGGGTAGATACATTTTATATGTTTCAACCGCTCCTTAACTGTTGATGAACTTGCACATCTTACCAGTTACAGTCACCTCYCCTGAGCATCCTCAAGCTGCAGTTTCTATCAAAGAAGCTTTACTTGTTTGAAATGAATTGTTTCCCATGATCCTCAGTGATCTCAGCTTTCTAGGTTTTTGGTGACTAACTTTATTGAAATAAGTATATCACCAATCGATTCAGTAAATTAAGATTAAGGGGATAGATATGAAAGAACAGAAGTAGATGTGGAATTATAGTGCCTCTATCTTCCAACCTGCGCCTAAAATGCTTTCAAAATATATGTGAGAAATCGCATCTCCAGATACTTAAGATTTAAAATTGTGTTTTCCAGAAATCTGCCCCCCAAGTCCAGTCCCTTAAGARACTGACGCTCTTGACGGGTGCAATATTTATTAACGACATCTTTGTCGTCTATAGAGTGAAATTCGTTTTGAGACGAGAAATGCAAGCTAAGCACTGCGCGCATGCTATAAAACAGAAGCTTTAAAAGCTGGACTTACCTTGGCACTCAGAATAAAATCTTCTGAACGGAACTGACTGACAACGACGTAGTAATGAGCTGCAAGTTAGTCAGCAGCTTGCTCATGGTCCATAAATCGATAATCAATTTATCCAGCGATTTTTATCTGATTTTCAACAAATTATACGGTCGGGACTGATCAATTGATTCAATTTCAATAGGCGTCTTTAGTTTCCCATTTCAGACACGGCGTGTGTCGAACAGAGAGGAGCCAATCAGGAAGGAGGGAGAAACAACGGGAAAATATAGAAAAGGGAGAAGAAAAAGATTAAAAGAAAAAATTAAGGAGAGAGACAAATGGCATAAAAATTGGGAAGGAGAATATTTAAAAGCTTATTCCTCTCTGCTCTGTGTCATTCTCTTGAGAACGAGAGTTGTATCCATATTGATGTGTCTTCTTATGTGCAACCGTTAAACAAAGTAATAATACTCTAGGGGATGAGTCTGAAATGTGTAACATCATGTAAAAGCCAGGTCTATTGATGGGTTGCAAGCATTCCCAAGAGAGTCAAAAGACAAAARCATGGYGGCCATTGTGGTGCCGTTAACAATGGATGCTAATAAGAAACCTTTTGTTAAATGGCAGCATCGCGATGACGTAACGTTCAATCGAAGAATTGTGCGCAGTTTCAAAACTAATTGAAGTGTCTTAAATTAATTTTTTTATATCCCTCACGCATCGCATCCAAATGATTAATTTTTTAGAGCTGTTTATGAAATAGATAATATTATCAAGAAGGCTTGCTGGTAGACTAATGTTACTCTACTACTGACAGCACGTTCGTATTTTGAACGAGCTCTACGCTCTTGGAGGATAGGTGATTTTACAAAATAAACTATTATTATTAACTATTATTATTACTTGAGTCAACAATAAGTAATATGAATTAAAGTAGTCGAAAGGAAACCAATTCAAATACATGCAATAGAAAGAAATGCAAAGGAGTATCCAAGGAATTATAAGGATTTCACTTGATGTCATTTTCTGTTTCGTGCGGAATGTTTGTCAAGTGAATCACAAGTTTTTAACATTCTCGTACCCAGACCCTTCTCAGGAAACATCGAAGGCAATGATGTATACTGATAAAGACTAGCAGTAGCAGTCGAAGCGTCGCGGTCCACCCAACTGCCACAATCGTAAGGACAAATGAATAAGTATAATTTTTGATTTATTACCACGATGAATGATCCTTCATGGACCTTTATCACACGGCGGCCATGTTTATTCCCGTGACAATAAAAAATTGTTTAACCCGCATTCTCTACTTTCACATCTCCATAATCCTTTGCGTCTTTGGGGGGGGGGGGACCAGAGGGTAAAAACCCACTTATTTTGCTGAAGGCTGATCAGATAATGTTGAAAATACCTTGTTTAGTATCCAAAAATAAAATGAAGAAGTAAAAAACAGAAAAAGATAGAAGCTTGAAGACGTTTAAGGTAAATTTTAAACATTAAGACCAAAACTCTTGATGATCTGTACACGCAAAAATAACTTKGAATAAACTGATAATCAGTATTGTACAGATAAAAGCAGGTATAGTATAAATTCAATTAAGAAACCTTTCAATTTGGGACAGTTTTTTGATTGGTTACCGCCAAAAACGCAAGGCATTATGGGGATGTGAAAGTAGAGAATAAATCTATTCTCAAACACTAGAATCCGAGGCTACGCAAGGCCGTAGGATCTTTCGTTCAAACCAACATGGTTGCCGCGTGAAAAAGTACTGTTTAGGAAGGACTTATTGACCTCTTGAGGCAATAGATTTAGTTCAATTTTGAAGAAAAAACAGTAAAAATGTTATTTTCCTGAAAATCTAAATTCCCTGTTAACACTACGTTTAGTATTTCAATCTTAGCTGTTCTGGAAACTGCACTGCAGTACAAGGGGAGTAAAAACAACTGAAATATCCTTATAGTTCAGTTCTATTCTATATAGTTCTTCTCTTGTTTAAATACACACCTATTTCGAAGATCGTTGTCGCACCAAGAGCCTCAAGTAACAAGCCAAGGCTCCAGAGAACGTCGGTACTTTTAATTATAATTGATTTATTCATGGTTCATGCAAGTGGCTATAGCTCTCCACTAATTATCATCTCAAGCAACCTTGCTTGCAGCAATTTGTGAAGTCAATAAATGAAAATGCACCATGGATAAACTAATTACAGCTAAGAGTACCGGCGTTCTCTGCGGTCTTGGCTTGTTGCTTGAGGCTTTTGGTGCGAAACGCACCAACGCACCTACTACGCACCTATTTCTGAAATAGGCGTATAAGTCTATAACTYATCGTAGTGATGAATGTTTAAAAAATCTCCTTTTCCTTTCAAGAAGAGGGCCGTCTTTTATGATAGTCTTCGAGCATCATATCTTGGTAACCTCGTCTTTAGATACCACGTGATAACAACGTGACTATCTTCTTCGTCAGTTATGAAAAGTTCGACAACTGACAAATACAAATATTTTCGCTTCAAAACTTTCTAAATGTCTAAAACCTAATGTCTAGTGATCTACTTCCTCTAACATCCTGTTCTAAGATGTTCTACTTGACTGGGCTTGGTTTTGTTTTCGTTCTGAAAGCGAAGAGCCCGCGATCCGAGCCGTGAGCGGCAGTGAACCGGAAGCACAAGCCTGAAACGAACTGAAGGCAGTTCTTTTCCTTCTGGTAGCGACGTCTTTCGATTTTGATTGGAATCATATGGACAAGATGATGGTCACACGGCCATCGCCTCTGTTGATGCCACTCTCGTTGTCTTGTTCAGAACCGCTATTGAATGAGCCTCCGCCACCAGCGCATCCTTCGGGATTTTGATTAACGATGACTCCACCACCTGAATACCCACCCCCACCCCCTTTACCAAAACCCCCTCCCCCAAAGCCTCCACTTGAACTCCCTGAACCTCCAGTTCCGTCATTAATGAAGCTCTTGGCTCCGGCACCCATGGGCCCCGACTCTCCATCCGTGTAGAATCCGGCTCCAGCTGCCGCAACTCCATTCCTTGTAAAAGAATTCGCCACTGAGTCATACATACGTCCTCCATTACCATCAGCTCCTCCATACCGACTACCATTGGTGGAGGTCTGCCCTGGATCACCGTCTAAAGTCCGTCCAGACATAGTGATCCCACCACCTCCCCCTCCCCCAGCAACAATCAG